CATATAACTTTCAGAACTTTAGAAAATATTTAGCATGCTGTATATTCCAGTCATTTTGTCAACTTAGCTATTAGTTATATAATCATGAACATACAGCTGTCAGCCCCTCGGTTTAAACAAAACAGCTCTTACGTTGGGTAGGATTATTACAGTTTGGGGCCATTGTGTACTGCATTGCATGATCTATACAATAAACACTTTTAATATTTCTGTACATTAATACAAAAATTCATTATTCAGCATATCAGGTATTTTACAATGGCTTCAAATTTTGTTCAGCCGATTTCAGATTTCAGAGCTGACACTATCCATTTTGTAAGTGATATTTTGATGTGTCATGATTTTAGGCTTACTGGTTAAGAATTAATGTCCAACTAATGACAGTCAGTTGTCGGTCGGTAGAATTTGCCAAAATTTGCCTCCCTAGTTTTAATCCTGTGCAACCAGAGCCATATGCAAATGAAACTGTGTGAATAGTGTGATTCTGAGGTATCATTGACTAAAACAGTCTGTACAAGACAGTATGTTCTTCTGTAGCATCCAGCAAATACAACACAGTGTGTTCCTCTCTAACATCCTTTTGTCCTTTTTTCCCTTCAATATGCTTTTCGGCACATTAAGATCCAGTGGTGTGCATACAAATGTTTATACTTAATGGACCAGTAGTAGTAGCCTGGGCCTAATGCTTGTTTGTTCAGTTTTTCTATTTTTTTGTTTTGTTTTTTTGCTGCAGTTGCAAGAATATGAAGTGAGAGATGGGCTTATAGTATTTCAGTGCTTCACTGGCAGACTAAATCACTGAAATGGCTTTGTATCATTAAAAACGTGCATTACTGTCATCAGTGGTTCAGCAAGCTGTGCTGTGCATAAATCTCAATCTCACTCCTGACACCACATTCATTCAGTCTATTAGTGGGCTACTGTTTACCCTCACATCACAGCCCCCTATTTAAAAGCTCCGTGTGTATTTTTAGACGAACAGGCTGGCTTTCAGTCACACAGCAGCAACGCAGATAGATATACAGGAGAAGAAAGAGTGAGGATTTTTTTCTAAATGAAGACATTGACATCGCTGAATCATGATGAGGCTGTGAGTGAGTGAGTGTCCCCGTTTATTCCAGAAGACACTCAAACTGCATCTGAAGTAAGACCCTGCAAAGGGAGGGGAGAACTTGCTTTCATTTGGGCGTTGCTACCGGTGACAGCTTTCTCTCTTTTTGTCTCTCTGACTGGATTAGACTATTAGTTGACATCCCGAAACTTTTTTTTCGTCCCCTTCTCTCTCTGTCTCTCTCTGTCTCTCTCTCTCTCTCTCTCTCTCTCTCTCTCTCTCTTTCTCTCTCCGCGTCTCGGGAGATTTGGGAGAGGCTGAATTGGCAGTCCATTACGTAACAGCGCGCGACCCTTCCGTTACGTACAAACTGTTAACAACTGACGAGCTGCGGTCGCTTCTCCTCTCCGTGTCTCTCTGTGTGTTTGTTAATATTTAACCGAGGAGAGGCGGTGATGAATCTCTCCCGCTGCCCGGCGCTACGGCAGGTTTGGTGAGCGTTACCCTGAGCGTGCTACTTCGGAAGTAGGTCACCGCTTCAACGTGTCTTGTCAGCTGCTTCCCCTCGTTTCGCTTCTCCGCCGAGCATCGGTGTCGTTTTAGCAGCCCGAGCGGAGGAACTTCGGAGCGGGATGCTTTTTCAGCCGGAGCACGACCGAAAGAGTGAGCGCTGAGGTAAACCGAGCCTTGCTAATCGGTTTTATTTTGGTTTATGCGCGTTTGCTTTGCTGCTTCTCTGCCGGGGGGAGGAGGAGGAGGAGGAGGAGGAGGAGAAGGGGGGTTAGAGAGAGAGAGAGAGATAACCCGTCTGAAACATTACATAGCCTACATTCAGCAGCCTGTGGCTTTTGTCGGATTTCCTAAGTCCTTGATTGGGTCGTGTTTGGACTCTGAAACTGCTCTTTTGTCGTGTCGTTTGTGAGCGCCTGAGCTCCGAGAGCCTCCTCAGCTCGGTGGTCGACTCGTGGTCGGATGGTGGTGGTGTGCTGGTGAAAACGCACTGGATGGATGGGATTTGCTCTCGTTCGAGCTGCTGCTGCTGGTGGTGCTGCTCGGGTTTCTCGTTTGTGTGTCGCTTCTGAAAGCTCGTTTCATTTCGAGCCCGGTGCTACGCCCTGCGTGATCTGCGCCCAGCGCAGCCAGCACAGAGCCAGCTCTGCTTCATCTTCTCAGGGCTCTAACGTGGGCTTCCCACATCCCACGATCATTTCATCAAAGCGAAGAGCACGCGGCTTTTCGTCTACATTTCCTTTCCGTCAGATGCATTTTTGCTCCCCCTCACCAGCAGAGACTGGAAACGAAAGGGACCGAGTCGATTCCTCAGTAGATTACTTGGTTCAAAGTTAATTCCGATTTGCGCGGAGGTGAAATCAACTAGGCTACTTTGTCTCTGGAGCCATATTCCCAGACATAACACTCAAGCAGACACATTCAGACGTCCACTTTTGGTAATACTTTTTTTATTTACGCCCCCCTCCCTAAAAAAAGCCTACCGGCCACTGAGCTACGTTTTGGCAGCAGTTCTTAATGGCATACAACAAAAGGTTGGTGAATTATCAGAAAGGTTACCCCAATTGGCCACCTCTGAAACGGGGATGGGACTCTTTAGCACGGCTAATTTGAAATGAATCAAGATTTTGAAAAACCAAGGGATTTGGCCTGAATAAGCTCAGTCGTCTTTTGTAATTTGGAACAACACCAGGGCAGCTGGAGTGAGAGAATACCGTTTAATTGGATATGAACATCCATTACTGCTTGTCTGCATGATGTCATTGCAGTTGTGGGTTTCGGTTTAACTTTGTTTGATTGTTAAACTTTATGCATAACTTCATTTTCAGTTTATGCGTACTGTGACTGCATACCCATCAGTGCGTGGTGTCAAAGCTCATTGCAGGAGTTGAGTCATATGGTTTTCTTTGGTGGGTTTCTTGTAAGCCACTGACTGCTATCTTTTTTTTCAGTAAATGTTATCTCTGCCACTATCAGCCATCCATCATCTGTGAGATTTGTCCTGATCCGTTTATGTCATCTGTAGATTAAATCGCTCATCTAATAACCCCATGAAGTACAGGCAGTTTTTTTTCCTAAACATGGATTTCTTATTCCTCATTATTTGTCATCATGGCTGAGTGAACAAAAATAGCAGTATGCAACAGGACAACTGAAAAATAATGGCTATCGAGATGGGGAAATGCCACAATAATCATTTCTTTGGAAGCCATTTCCTGGCCATGTTTAGCTTTCCTTCTGTAGTGTTGAATTTCAAGGCGTTTCTATTTTTTTGAGAATTCTTAACCGGCAATTGAAATCTATATTGAATGTCTCCAGTGGGGCTTTCTTGCTGATAGGCAAAAAGACTGCGTTACTGCTGAATTTTGTCTAAGTTGTCTAGGCTTGTTCCATTTGAAAGAATCAATCTGAGATAGCTGGGAGAGCACAGTTAGACCACACTAATTAAACACAGAGGACACACATCTAATCTAAAGGATGACAAATAAGACCAAACAGCCATTGGCTCCTGTGTCAAACTAGGAAGTTGCCCTGGAAAGCTCAAGGACGCTAATTCCCTTTATAGAATGAAAGGCTAATGTTAAGAATATGTCAATAGGTCAAAGGAGGTAGTTTTAAATTTCGTATGAAGCCAAATTAGTCTAAATGTCTCAGGTGTGTTTCTGACTTTTTGACCTTAAACAAATCAATAAATCCCAAGGTACATAATGGCGGTTTGTTCAAGGGTTTAACTTTGTTTAGAAATAATTCTGTGGCGTTTTCACCAACGTGCATTGATACTTATGTCTGAAGAAGTCTGGTTTTTGCACGTGCCCTTGTTCAATGTTATTAACCTAATTACTGTGGCGGAGTTGTCTTTCATGCTTTTCTAAGTGCATGCAGCTCTAATTGGTGTTAATTGCAATTTATATAGAATATATGCTTAAAAAGAGTAAGTCTTTCCCTGAATTGCTCTCGAGTCTGGACTGTTACTACTTTTATTAATGAGTTTATCAGATAGCGGATTTAGATGTAAATGCAGAGCCTGGACTGAGTGTACATGTGTTTATTTCCACATGTGCAATTGAAGATGGTACAGATAAACAGATGTTACAGAAAAAAGGCTTAAGCTAACATTTTGACGCTTCATTTTGATGCAGAAGTATTAGACAAATTGAAACATTCCTGTAAAGCTGTAAGTGTTTTTCGCTGTGTGTTTTTCGCTGTATGTTAACAATATATTGTATTAACCATGAACCAAACAAACGAAAACCTGTTTCTTGCTTTTCAGTTTTGCTTTTGTGCTGCATTGCTTCTGTGTTTGCATTTTATTTATAGCGTAGAAGTTTTGTTTGGTGCTGGTATATACTTAAGAACATTTGGAGAGTTATTTCATGTCTGTAATCACAATGAGCATTGTTTGCTCCTGCACTTTTGTCCGTATAGTTAGCCTGTCAGAGGGGTTCAGGAAGCAGGGATGCTATCTTTATTTTATTTGTGAGACATAGGCTGTGTGATGTTTCTAAGCATTCAAAATAAGTGTGGCTGTTGATGCAAGGTCTGTTGTTACGCAACTACACATCACGTGAGGTGTGAGTTGTGCTGCAAAATAAAGAAAATTGGCTGCTTGGAAAACAAATATATTTTTTTTCTGTTACTACATATTAGGTGTAGTGTAAATCACATCTCATAGACTGATGGGCTTGACACATAGTTATACGTAGCAAAACAAAGACAAACTTAAATGCCACATTTGTAGGAGTTGATAGGAGCGTACGCAAAATATTCAGCTAAAGGTTTTTGAAAATGGATGACAGATCTTGCAACAGTGAAGCTAATAATCTAGTTATGACATCCATCTTTAGTTTGCATAGTCAGCCATACTGATTGCAGAAGCCAGTAGCCAAAGCCATAACAGAACTGAGCTGAGTTTGTGCATTTCATTGTTTTTTCCTTGTAGGATCTGCATGGAAGACTGTAATGACCCATGCACGGCAGAGGGATTCTTGCAAATATCAGAGTGAATCCAGGGAGCAGGTGAGCTGCCAGACACATGCTGAAACCATGGGCAAAGCCTGGCCAGAGTGCCCAGTGCAAGAAAAGAAGACGAAGAGACGTTCCTCCAAAAGAGGAGGAGATAAGGAAATAAAGGAGCAAAGTGCAGATAATGACAGGAAGCTTTATCCTCTCAGGGGAAGGCTGGGAATGAGTGAAGTGGGCACCTTAAACTGCCGCGTGGTACTGACCCGTCTGGATGAAGGCGGGACTTGTAAGAGCAACATGAAGGCTTTGTCTAAGAGTGAAGGGAAACAGAAGAGGAAGGCAAAGAAGGGAAAAAACATGTCTTGCAAGTGTCACAAGAAGACCTGCAAAGCTTGCCAGAGAGCACCTGGACCAAAAAGCAACCTGAAACCTGACAAAACTGCCTTATATACCGAACTTCTCCTGGAGCCTCGCAAGCGACGACTGGCCTCTCTAAATGCGGAGGCAGTCAACAGTCTGTTGTTATTTAGAGAGGACCCTCAGCAGGCCTCAAAACTCACAAAAAAGCAGCCAAATCCTCCAAAGGGGGATTCCGAACTTCCAAAAGGAGAAACTGACAGTTCTAGGAAAGCACTGGAAGGTCGAAAACGTGCTCATCCAGGAGAGACAGAGCAGAGTAAAACCCCCAAAAAAGCCAAAAAGCCAAACACAGAGTCTGAACATCTGGATCAGCTGAGTCTAAATAGTCCAGCTCCAAGGCGTCTAGCGGGTTTGAATGCGGCTGCTCTGCTGAAGCTTACTAGCACCTCATCCGGAGCAAAGCGTCGAGTTAAAACAGACTGCAAGCCGGGCAATGGAGGAGCGAGAACGAAACAAGTCCAGGTAAAGACAAAAAAGCAGCAGCACAACACACCCTGCCAGTCTACCAAGTTGCAAGAATCACAACAGTGCTGCGATCTTTGCAAGAAAGAAGCCCTCCAATCTGAAGCGATGTGGGAAGGCACTGCAGGGGGGCATGGCTTCATTAGGCCTGGTTACCAGTGTAGGTCCATGCTGGGCTACTCCTTGAAGCCTGTGAAAGAAGAGAAAACTGAAGCTGATGTGAATTCCTGTTACTGCTGTTCCCAGGAGAGTTCTGTGGAGTACTGCCACCGACTAGCCCTGTTCCTTGGGCAGAAGGCCTATCCTGAATCAGAAGAACATTCTATGCCATCTGTAAAGGGGTTCCTTCCTTCCCCTCATGCACTGACACACCCAGCCTTGACCATAGGCGCCCACCCGTACTCCTGCTACCCTGGTTACTACGTGCACATCGCCCACCATGGGTCCTCCACACTCCCTGTGAGCACAAGTCCTGGACCCCATACTCCCTCAGTACCTCCTATTACACTGTGCCCGAGTGGTGTCCAGAGACCCAAACTACTGTCCTCACCAGTTTCCCACCCTTCAGGCATCCCTCACCCAGCATACTGCAACTCTGTGGGAACCTGTTGTGGGGAACCCTGCAGGATCGGCAGCTATGCCTACAGACCCCCGCAGCCCATCGCTAGCAGGGGATGCTCATTCAGCACCGGATGCTCCAGCTGCAGCCACAAAATCAAAATGGGTAAGACGAGGCAAATGGGATGAAAATCTGTTTCCCTTTTGCATCTCAATAGAATGAGCCTGAGTGAGGCTTCAGAGATCGTGTCATAACTATTTAAATAGAATGCACCCTTAATTAGCAGCTGGATATGGATATATTTCTAAGAGAGCTTTAGGAGTGAACTCACTCAGACCTCAAACTGGCAAGTCCTAAGGCCTTCCCTGGCACATTGTGAGACACAAAAGGCTAAAATAAGAAAATAAAAGCCATTGAGATGTTTTCAAAGACTTGCAAAGAAAGTAATGATTTGAGACTGAATGATGAAATCCCTCGTTCCCTTTAAGCAGCCACTCCACCGTGGCTGTCTGTTCAGTGCTGTCTTTTCACTGCTGGTTTGAATGTGAATAATTGCCACAGGTGGACAGGCTGCTGGTTATTTTTGTTGGCAGGAGACTTGAACTGGCTGTTCATTGTAAGATGGCAGCTGTGGTCTCTCAACAGCTTACCAACCTTAGCCCAGCCACGAAAGCCTTGCAGGACTAGTCCTTGTTGCTTTTTAACCACTTGGCTAAGTTATTCAACCTGACATTTCACTCTCAGTTAATCTGTGTTAATCAGTAGGTAATCTAACACTTGGAGGCGTTCTCAGTAGTTACTGTGCTCACATTACTCTCTTCCGTTACCAGTGCAGTTTGACCGTAGCTGAGAAAAGAGTGAGGTAGAAAAACAGTACTGGGAAAAAGTCAGGAACCACCCTTCATTTATTGAATTTCCAGTCCAAACGGCCATTGTGTACAAGTTATTAATTTTTCAGTGTCAGGAAAAAAGCAGAAAACACGAAAATAAACCACAATTTTAAAATCTAATGTGTCCATCCTTTGCCTTTATTACAGCTTCCATTCTTTTTGGGACACATACTCTCAGTTTTTGAAAGAAACCTGCAGGGGTATTTTTCTACACCTCTGAAGTTCAGTCTTGGAAGTTGGTTCTGCTTCACACAATCCAAGTAATCCCAAAAATTGAAAGATGTTGAGGTCTGGACTCTTGGTGACCAGTCCATTGTTTGGAGAACACCAGCAACTTTGTTCTTTAATTGCCAAACTTTCTTTAATTTTGTCCATGTCCTTTTCTCAGTAACAACTTCTTGATAGCTACACATTTTTTCAGGCTCATAGCGTTATCGTCTAACACTGAAAGAATGGACAAAAACACCTGGATTTTTTCAGATCTTTTTTTTTCCTTTCTCTCAAAGATGAAAAGTTTTCAATGGGATATCATATATTAAATAAATGAAGGCTGGTCTCTGGTTTTTGCACAGCATGTACTTTCCCAAAATTGAGGCGCGTCTTTAATGCGTGTAACTATGTTAGAAATAGAGGTACTTATTGCACCAAGTATACACTGAATGCATTCAATAACTGGTCCACAGTGACTAATATATACCACGACACACTATGTTGCCTACACAAAATGGAAGCTTGCAGCTTGCACATTTAATAATTATAACTACAGCTTACCGCAGCACAGTGGCAGAAGACTAATGTAGTTTCTGTACAGAAGTACTTCACTAAGTTAGAGACTACAGGTGCCTACACACTGGGGGCTGTTTCAGCACCAGAAGAGGAGCCAACTCTGTGCATTTGAATGATAACAGAGAAAGAATGCAGTCAAAGTAGGAGGGAGAACGATATGGGTACGCACTGAAAAGATGATCCAAATGAGGCCTCCAAAAAGTTCAGATCACTTCAACTTTCTCTGCGCCAGACTCTAATGAAGAAGTACGCCAGCTAATCAGCATTCCAGTCTGGGAATATCCTCAATAAATAAATGATCTTTCAGTATTTTCAATGAGTGAGTGTTCCTCAAAAAAAAAAACTAAATGTAAGCTTGTATTAAATTGATGGATTGACAGACGTGAGGTAATTCGCTGCAGCATCGCCTCATTTCATCCGTTATACCGATCCAGATCATATAGTCATTAGTGTACATCTCCGCCAGTGCTTTCCGTAGTTTGTAGGCATGCAAGTCCCCTTGTAATAACACGGAGGCTTCACGGCTGAGTGAATGTGCAGTAGCTGCGCTTTCCCTCTCGTGCCTGGCCAGTCTCCTCCCCGAGAGGCCAGGACGAGTGAGCAGTTCGGAAAGGATTGATCCACAGCTCATTTGTCGTTAACTCTTATTTGTGTTGGCCCATGGCCCTCCTGACCTCATAAGGGAGTGTGATTACGGAGTGAAATAGTGTATCACTGCTCCGACTCCATCCTAGGGCTCTTTGAAAGGAGGTAAATAACCGTTAAGTAGAATCCCATAGCCTCTGTCAGACCTCTTTGACTCTCAACTGGAGTCCGAGCTAGGGGTTGAATTCCGGATCGCTGGGATGGATGTTTGTGGTTGACACAAGTTGGCAAAATGCCAGAAAATATCAGGAGGGCGATTTCCATGCCATATGTGTTACGTCATGAGCGTTGACGGGTCATTGCTGGGCGCATGGTCATATTTTGAATTCCAAGAGAGGTCTATTAAATCAGCCTTCTGCTAGGTTAACACTGCCAGCTATTTAAAGAGCTACTAAAAGGAGGCTCCTCTTTCCCTGCTGATTACAGCGCTGCGCTGGCTGTTAACATGATGTAGGTGCTTCTCGCAGGACTGTGTGATCACTTGCCTCCTCGCCCATTAGTTCACTGAAAATCATCACATGCATCACGTGGTGACTTCAGAAGCTGATTCATTCCGATCACCATCTGGGACTTCCACTGAAATGTCATATAGACACCAGATCCTAAATTTTCAAGAACAAAGTGGTAGCTGTTACATCCAGCAGACAGTTGTCTCATGCATCTGCTTGTTTATTACATTCTCATTATATATTCATGCGTGTATATTTGGCAGTTAAATTGTTATTATGTTTCATAAACAAATCTGATGATTCACAGTGTCCACCTGTTTCAAGGCTGACAGTATTGCAGCAAATGTCTGAAGTACTAATTGGGTCCATTTGTTTGATTTCTCTTGTCACAGTCAAAACACAGTGTTAATTGCTGTGCTTGTGTCTGCTGAACTTACTATGTATATTGTCTCTGGAAGATTAAACCTGGTATCCCTGGAATAACTTCTCAAGACAAGGAAAACCTTTCTTTAAAGTTATGTCAATGTTCTGAAATTTTAATTCTGGACCATGTCTATTCCATCATGTCCATTCATCATAAAATGTGAAGGTCAGCTGGCGTTTTCAAATGACGTTTTAAAAAAACTACAAGGTTTTGATCTGACAGTGATGATGTGTGCACCCTTTACTTATTTAATTTCCAGTCAAAATGACAATCAAGTACAAGTTAGTCAATTTTCTGGTTCAATTCTTCTCAGCTATTTCTGAGCAGATTAAAGATAAGACAGTACACTTATTACATACATAAGTAACAAGTTCAAAAATTATTGAAAGATATCAAGAAATTGTGATTCCACTGTGAGAAGACAACTTAATGCTATGAGTCTGAAAGGAAGCTGCCAAGAAGCCGTTACAGAGACAAGGAAATAGACAAAAAGAATAACATTTGCAAATCAAACAAAGAAGCAGCTGGTGTTCTCAGAACAATGGCCTGACCAGCCCAGAGTCCAGACCTCAACATCATTAGATGTGTTTGGGATTAATTGGATTGCAAGAAACATAAAATACAACCAACTTCTAAGACTGATCTTTGGAGGTGTGGAAAAGTCTCCTGAAAGGAGTGGAAGTAGTAAGAGTGAACACGCTAAATACTGAAAAGGAGGCTTCTGTGTGATATAAGTATAATTAAAATTTTTTTACTGATGCTGAGAAACAATTAACTTTTACTTAGTAGCTGTTTTGTCTGGAACTTGATGGATGGATGAATGAATGAAGGATGGTTTCTGATTTTTGCATAGTGTAGTGTATATGAGGACATGAGTCTTACATACTAACAACAAGCTTTTACTTTCCTGTTCCTGTAGAGGACTACCCCTACCCTCTGGATGAGCACAGTTCCTCAATCCCCATGTCCCCCGCCCTGCCCCTGTCTGTCTGCCCCATCCCCAGCGTGCCCCCAGCTGCCCAGCCCCTGCCCCACCTGCAGCCACCCCTGCCTGATGCTGGGCGATCGCAGGTCCAGCTGCGCGTGGGCCGTGAATGCCCTCAGAGTGCCAAGCCGCCTAGCAGCTCACGGTCTGGCATGCGGGACTCTGCCGGATGCCCCCACATGAAGGACGGCCAGCTGGGAGCCAGCCACGGCAGCCCCGCCGCCAAGCAGCCCAAAATCAGCCGCAGACGGGCCACCAACGGCTGGCTGCCTGTGGGCACAGTCACTGAAAAGGAGGTATTCATAGTGGTATGTACTCCTGTTTTGTTCTGTATCAACCACAGTGCAGACTAGAGGAGAATATGGGAGTAGCACTCAGCTTAGGCTCGTATTAGTGAGTCTGCAGAAGCTGGTGTAAAGTAGGTTTTCAGTTTTAGGTGCCATTATGCTATTGGGTTTAATAAAACCAACATAATACAATAAAAATTATTTTTTTAATAGAAAAAATACACACTACCACTCCAAAGTCTGGAAACACCTAACTGAATATGAAATTTTTATGTCTTAAATATCTCACATCTTAGACATTTTGATTTAAATGCTTGAAATTTGTTTGTAAGACAAGAACGGGTAGTGAAGTTGATGCTTTTGTTAAAAAATATTTTTCAACACAAAAATGTAAAATTTAAGTTTAGAAAATGAAAAAATGCCCCCAGTAAGTGGATTTCAGCAAAAACAAGGTTTTAGTATGTATACTTTTCTTCAGTCCTGTTCAAAAAGCTTCTCATGAAGCTGCTTGAGAAAATGATCAGAACTATGCAACACTGTATTAGGACAAAGGGGTCTAATTTCTCCACCATTACTCTAAAATATAGAACGCATTAAAAATAAGGAAGACCCTTCTATGAGTAAGTGTGTCCAAACTTTTGACTATATATTTAATGTAGTTTATTTTAACATTTGAGTGTTTAGCTTGCTTTAGCTCTTCAGATTAGATTTACATAAATTTTTCACCAGGCACTGTGTGTCAAATATTTGGGCACATTGGAGTAGATTTGCCAAGGCTTTGCTCAATTGCACATACTATTTTAGTGTTAAAATGTGACTTTCATGATTTACTAAACAGGTGCAACAGCCGTTTAGTACCTATAATAAGATCAAAGGGGCAGTTGCTGCTCTTTTGCACTTTTTCTAATTGCATATGCATTTATACGAGATTCCCACTGCAAGTGCAAAATACTGTGAGTAGATTATTATAATGAAGAAGCTACTTTGACTGCATTATTTAATGCCTATGAGTAGCTCCTCTTATTTTGGCACTAACATCTGTCATTGTTGAGAGACAGAAAACAGAGTTTTTCTTGAACATTTATTTATTGTCGATGTAAAAACCCCTTGCGAATGCCTGCCGTATCCTATTAGTCCTAATTTCGGGGAAATACACAAACTAAAATCAAACGGTTTTAAAAAAACTGCTATTTTAGCACTATCAAAGAGCAGGCTTCATTTCCAGACGTTAAAAGCATATTGAAACACTTTTTTCTGTGCAATCCATGCTTTACTGAAGCTACTCCTTACCACTATTCCTATGTGCTGAGTGAAATTAAACAGATATTGTAAAATATCACACAGTTTCCTAATGCACTCAAGGAGCTTAGGTGAATTTAAGCTCTTCCCTTCAGCCAAAAATAAACGTTTTGTAACAGTCAAAAATTTAAGAATAAAGATAGAAAAGAATTTCTAGTAAGTTTTGTCAGAATTATTTTTTGCAAAATATTGACTATGTAGAAATAATCTAGTACTGTGTCAAAGAGTCAAAACTATTTTTTATCTTTTTCATCACTTTTATCTTTATTTTCTTGAGATACTGACTTAATATGTAAGTATTTCAAGAGTCGCAGTCTGACCTGAAACGAAGAAGGATAAACACTTTTTTCCCCCTCATACTTAGCAGAAACAAGTATTCATACAAAAAGCAGAAAAGCCAAACACATGATGATATTGTGCTGGTCATGTGTTAATTACAGAGGTGTACCTGTGTTCATTTGCGTGGAAGTTCTTATTAGATAACCTGCAAAATTGGCCGCCCCCTCCAGCATAAAGTGTCTGTAGACTGTCAGTAATTAGTGCCTCTCTTGGTAAATTTGCCCTTTTGTCTTCTTTTGAAAGTCTCTGAGTAATAATTATTTTTCACTGTTATGTTTTAATTAAGTAAGAAAAGAACACCTACCAAGCATCTGCTAATATAAAACAGCTGTTTGCTAACACTTTTATTCCATTTTTCAACACTAAGGTTCATGTTCATCAAAGTGTCTTCGTAAGTGTGAAGAGTAGGCTTTCACCTGAATAATGATTTGACAGTTTTCTTTTCCGAACTATTCTTAAAAGCACACATGGAAACACTTTTGCTCCAAAAGTGGTTTAAACACCTGAGAGGTTTGAGTGCTGATGCTTTCTGTTTAATAAGTTGAGTTATTGCAGTCAGAGAAAGTAGGCTCATTTATTAAAAACTAGGTTAAAACGCCTTTAACAGTGTATGTAACTGAAGAATGTCTGTACCTCTTGGCATCTAGAATTCTGCCACAGAAAGTGCTTCTTTCAATGAAGAAAAAAAATTGACTTGAATATGAATAGCGGTCATCCCTTTAAAGCTGATGTTGCATTTTTGCAGCATAGTAGTAGGGATGGGCCATTTGGCAAAAATATAACTATTACCACTTTGTTTAGCATATTACTACTTTATTTAACATCAATACTTGAAGAACTTGATCGTTTAGTTTTTCTGGGGTTTGATGAGTTGGAATAGACAAAAAAAGAGCCACTAAAGCCAAAAAACAAAAACTAATAATACAGTGATTTTTATTCAGCAGTTCACATACTACACTGAATGAAAATCAACTTAAACAGGACTGATTTATGCTCTCTTTGTAATGAAACGTGCAGTGTTGATTAGTGTTTTTAAGGACTGATGATATCTACGGTATGCTTAGAAATGTATTTTGTGATGTAATTTGTTGTAATTTGTCTTAAACGATAAATATCATCATATTGCACATCCCTACAATGCACTCCTCCTGTTTGTCTGTGATTATTTATTATTATCTGTGATGGTTCACAGGGTGAGGAGTCACCAGCACTGCGCAGGTGTTATGAAGGAGTGCAAAGAGACGGAGAGGTGATTAGGGTGCGAGACACTGTACTGCTGCGCTCTGGCCCCCGCAAGAAGTCCCTCCCTTATGTGGCTAAAGTCTCTGCCTTCTGGGAGGACCCTGAGTCAGGTACATGCAATGTAATTCTTCTCTATCCATCGTGAAATACAGTGTGAAAGGCAGCTTGCATGCAATGGTGTAAGTTCTTTAGTGAACCGTGACGCTTAAACCTCAGTCCCCCCTCCTTCCCACATCTGAAAAAACCCAGCCTAGTTTACTGTGTCCCCTCCTAAAGTACTGCAAAAGTTAAGAGACAAAAATGAAGATGGTAGTTCAGCCTTAGAAATGCAACAAGCAAATAGCACAGAGAGGGTTATCACCTAAACAAAACAGCTAATTTCTTAAGCAAAATGCAAATCCTCGTTACAAATAATTGCATCATCATACAAGCTCTGTGTGCTCTTAAGAGGAATATGGAGATGCTGTTCAAAACACATGACAGTCATACCCTCCTACCACACAAAACCAACAACATTTTGTACAAGCCTTCACATGACGACAGCACGCACAGCCAAGCAGCCATGAGCATCAGATACATTAGTGTCAAAAAATGACGGAGAATTCCGCATAATGGCCATTTTCCCAAATAAACCTTCACATTACACGGACGGTGTCAGAGGCGGCCAAATAAAATCAGCTGGCACGGTGGTATATAATATTTTAAATAACTTACCCTTTGATAAAGGCATTACTTGAAAATGAAGTCCATCCCCCTGTTCTTTCAGATGAAGTAGTTGATGGCGGGGTCATGCAGCTGATCCTTTGCTTTTAAATTCATCAGCAATTGCTTCTCAAGCGTTCTGATGGCGATGGGCTGACTTGGATAAACTTCCTTAATCACAAGATCCATCTTTGGCCCATGACCCCCTCTCTTAAATTCTGATGGGAATTTAACCCTTCACTTTCCAATACTAATTGATTTGGCAGATTTGAAGGATTTATTTGCTTAGATTTGTGTTTGGTTAGATGTTGATCGTCAAAATATGATCAGATAAAATTACAACTGCTCAATTTTGAAATATTATTTTCAGAATATCTTAGGCCCTCTCTGAGGGTGTAGAGGGCCATGACCGGTCTCCTCTGGGTAACCTTTTTCTTCTGCTTCATATAAATACTGAGGCCACTTAACTCTGTGCTTGCAAGTTACACATTTTGCCTATTAGGGGAGAGGCATGCTTGTGACATTCTGAAAACATTCTGAACATAAGATTATTTGGACAATATAACAACATAATGGCTGACTCTGAATTTAAAATAAACAAGTAAGCCTCTACAGTGGATGTGCTAAAAAGCTAATGAAAGCGTTGGAGGAGCGCTGTCTATCCTACGCTCTGCATGCTTAAATTCATGACATTTTTCATATTTCATTTGTGACTGTTTTATGAATCACATTTTTTGGAGTGCATTATTGTGAGGTACAGAAATAACGCATAAAGGCGCCAAATTGAGTACGCACTGTAGTATCTCACTAACTGAGAGGCACCTCTCTTCATTCCAATGGGATGATTACACCCCTTTGTCTCGAATCCTAACAGGTGAAGGAAGCATTCAAAATTAGGGGAGCAGTTTCAGGTAATTACAGGGTAGTGAAGAGAGCAAAAACACCACTCTGACAAGGCATTGTGTGGGAAGACTCTGCATTGGTAGGATTTGGAGGAGGAGGATGAGATGATGAGGAAAGTAATGCTGATGTTTCAGTGTTTCCGAGGCAGGTAAAGAAGGCTGTATTAACTGAAACATACCTTCTGTTGAATAATTTGAACTATGGGTGTGAACATTAATTGATTCTTAGATATATCACGATTCTCTCTTGAATTATGCATGAACATCACACTCAGACTTCTGTATAGACAAATGCAATTTTTTTAAATTGAAAAATGTCAACAGTGCTAAAGATTTCTAATTATTTCAGAGTATTTTGTATGCAATATGACGTAAAAAACTGCAAGATCAATTAATGGTTTTAGCTAAAGCTAAAGTTGTCAAAAGATGGAAGGAATTGTGATTAATTACATTGTTTTGTAGTTAATTACAGTTAATGGAAATTGTTTTTTATTTGCCTTAAAGAAAGATTTAGATTTATAAGAGTGAACAAAGTTAGTGTCATCAGAATGTATTATTACTTTCAGTAACATTATTATTTTTTGTGTAAATACAGTGTAAATATTATGAAAATCTTGGGATTTCTGTGAACACATTTTCTTCGCTAACATCCAGTGTTAGTAAAGATGGCTTTGTGTTGTAACCAGTGAGTGTACACGGAGTATGTATAACTTCAACATACTGAAAAAAACGTAGAGTAGTAGAATATAAAAACATAGAATATAAAATGTGCCATAACTTTTTCCCCCCGATATGAAACATTCAGCAAATAAACAGTATTAAGTGTACAGTGTACTTATTTTCACAAAACATGTATTTTGTAAACATGTAATTTGATCAGAAGCGCCTAAACGTTTGCGTATGACTATATCATATATGTCATATACACAACCAGTGATTCTCGTTTGTGCTTGTAGCCTCTCGCTGTCCCTACCAGTCGTGTAGCTTGTGGATAGTTGTTACATTGGAGGCTTTCAGGGGGAACTGTATCTTTCCACATTACTATTGCTTTTGTTAGTTTGCTGCTTTGTTGATTTATCCACAGTTCTCTGATGTAGCCCAGCATAGCCTCCTGAAGGTGCTGAAGCTGTCGCTTTAAAAGCCGTTTTAAATGAGGTGTCAAATTCTGTCATAGCAGTGTACAGCAGTGGGCTTCAACCTGCACTACTGTGGTATGGTTTGAAGGGTCAGACGAGGAATATGCATTAACATTAATATGCATTAACATAAATATAATTAGTGGTGTTAATAATTAATTGCCTTTGTTAATGTATTAACTTTGACAGCCCTAGTTTAAACAGATGATGAAACATGAAGATGTAGGTCTGTAGATTTAAGTGCTTCATGTGTAGGCTACATTCAAATTTAACTAAGCTTAACGCTGCTTGTAGAGGTGAATAAATACAGGAAAAATCATGATGTAGGCTGTAGAAATCAGAAATGAAGATTATTTATTAGTCATACATAGCACTTTGAATCAAAATTAAATCATGAAGTGCCTAAAAATTTCCACCCCTAATTTTACATTTTATTATGTTTTGACTAACCAGTGCAGCAGCAGTGGTTTAAAAATCTGAAGTTTAACAATGATTTTGGTTGAAAACAGCCCAGATGTTTGCAGAATGGGGAACCTCCGATTAACTGTGGTTTGGGTAATTTATAGCGACTTCTGCACTGGTCTGATAGACTGTATGTGCTGTGGTTCTTCTTAGGGGAGTTGATGATGAGTCTGTTTTGGTACTACCGTCCAGAGCACACTCAGGGGGGCCGCAATCCCAGCATGCACTGTGAGGTGAGTTGGCAAAAACTGCCTGTGGTACATCCCAGTGTGATTTCTTCATGAGAAAGCAGAGTAAACATTTGACTTCCCTTGATTATGAGTTTAAAAGAGGAAGTAGGCAGTGCAAGCTTTCTGTGCTCAATAAGCCCTAGAGACCATGGCTAGAAAAGAAATATATAAACAGCTTAGTCACAATGCTCTTTGAGCGGTTTTGAAATTGGACACCCATGTGCCTAGCACTGTTTGTCTGCTGTGGTTGATATGGTGAATATTTGAGAGTCATTGCTTCATATCTGTGCTCTGGAATTTCAGAATGAGATTTTCGCATCCCGCCATCAGGACGAGAACAGCGTAGCGTGCATTGAGGATAAGTGCTACGTCTTGACATTAGCACAATATTGTAGGTAAGTCCTACGTGTTTGTTCAGAGGGGTGTTGAGGCAAAAGTTTAGTGTATCATCACTCTGTCTACTGCCACCTCTGGCTACTAGTGGTTACATGATATGAACAAACTAATATATTGTGATTATATTGATTAATATTGTGGTTGTGAAATGTGTAGCACTGTATTAAAAGCACCTTGATGTCACAGGAGTTAATGTTTAAAGTTAAAGTATTTTGATCTAAATTACTTACCATTCTTGGAAGACAAGAATCTCTTAACTCTTGAAAATACCTCTGACATCTGAGGATGCTCACAGCAAAAAGAATTTTTTTTTATTCTTTTTTAGAAACCTGCAGTATAGGCAGAAAAAGCAAGTATCACAATAATAATTAACGACCAATATATCATTCAGCCCTACTGGGTACCATTATATGTAATCTTAATCTAGCGTTCGATTTTGGAATGTTAGAATTGATTATACATCAGCATAATAAATACATCAGAAGACGTACTTCTGAGCATATTGTAGACATGGTCAATAATTAAAGAACACCGAACACCTCATGTTTCATTACACAGAGAGCATAATTAGTTCTGTTTATTTGGATTTAGTGCAGTATGTGAAACGTTAAACAAAAATCTTCATAATTTGTTGCAATTTATCAAACATAAGAAAAACTAAATATTGTGTATAGTGTGTATCATGAAAATGTCTTTAAGTAATGTGATGTTATATTTCTGCCATATTATCCACAGTGTGCCCTCATTTACAATTCCTAACTTATTTATAAACATCAAAAAGCTTAGAGTAGTATTTTATTGTCTATGTCCACTACTGTGTAAATATTTACTCCAGTTAAACATATAATTATGAATTGTGCCAAAATAATCAAAATTGTGTCGTGGTGAAATTTGAGTTTTACTGATGCATTGAATCATGCTCTAGATGAGCAGTGAGAAACTGGAGGCCAGAGTTCATCACAGTTTGCCGTTTTTTATGCTCTAACACACCATCTAAATCTGCCAATTACAAAAGCAGTGTTCAAAAGCAGTCTTGGGACAGACTCTCAATACAGTTTATGCCTTTTATATTTTACATTCAAAGCTAAAGATATGATCTCTTCATTGATATCCAGCAACCAGCAATAGTGACCAGGTTTACTCACTGAAGCTCAAAATGATCCTGGAAATTAATTGAAAACTTTAGCAAGGTAAGTAAAAATACTGAAACAGCAAGACAAGCATTAATGTCTCTTACCTTTATATAGGTTAGTATTTAGTATTTTTATTTTGGTGAGAATTGTTTTGTATATTCCTTCTTTTGGATGACAGCGTGAGATCTTTTAGGCATGAAGGGCATGAATTTAGCTCAGTTTTCAGCCTTTGTAAATGGCTATTTTTTAAATGTATTGTTTTTTTGCAAGTAAAATGGGCAAGTTTTGTAGTTTGCTGTTGTTCGGTTGGACCCAAAGAATGGCTTGTTGAGCTGTAGCATAGCTATAATTATGTACTTTTGAGTATGGTAAAGCATAATAATGCACTAATAAACTGATCAGTTCTTAAAAAAAATAAATAAATAAAAAACCTAAATGAAGATAAAGTGTCCCAAGACTTTTAAACACTAACTCAGGAGCTGAATCAGGTGAGTTTGAACAGAAAAATCACCAAACTGTGCAGAAACTGGCCCCCCAAGAGTTCCTCACCCGTCCCAATCAGTTGAATCATGAGTTCAGAGATTTACGCTCCTATTAACTTATATGTGTAATCCTACTGTTTTAGATTTTGTGCCTTGGTGAAGCGTCGTGAGGAGGGTCTTTCCAAAAGTGCCCCCCTGGTCCCTCCCACTCTCAACTACACCATTCCAGCTCATCGCCGCGTGCCAGCCGACGTTGATCCTGACTTGGTGTTTGTCTGTCGTCACGTTTACGACTTCCGCTACGGCCGCCTGCTGAAGAACCTGCAGTAGCACTGGTGAGAGGACAGGTTTGACAACATGGAGCCATACACTGAAACCAGAGCCCAAAAGCTGAAGACACAATCAACGCCCTTATCGAGGGAATTCCTGAGAGGCCACAGGACTGACAAAAGTTAGGTTGTTCTTTGCAGACAGTGTCCCTGTACAAGCTGAGAGAGATTTAAGGTTAGTCCTTGCATAGTGATTTAGCATAATGGCATTTTGAGCACAACTACTTTGCGGTAAATTAAATCGATGGCCAAGATGTGATCCGTCACTCGATGAAGTTGCTTATATGTTTATTTGGTTTGTCGATAGTTATCTTTTATACTCGCTGGATGTGTGTGTGGAAAAAAAAAAACGAAAATAATCAAAGTTTTAGGTACATTAGGGGTACCTTGAAATATGAATTAGAGGTCTAAATATTCTTTTCTTGACTGTAAACGTGCCCTTATTGGCTGTAGATCTATTTATTTATAGATATAAGGTGGAAAATATATTTATTTTTAGAGCAATTAAAAATGAGGTCCCTAGTTAAAGTAGACAAGACCAAGAGTACTTCCTCTTTCCTGAATCGAATCTATACTTTTCCCCACCAATCACCAGTCTACCAATCTGTCATACCAGGCTGTGGAGGACCATAGACATTCTGGTGGACCAAATATCCAAGGGTTCAACTAGCAGTTGGCTAACTTCAGTACTGATTGACCAATGAAAAGGAGGTTTGTTTAAAAAAACTCTCATCTTACTGTAATTCATGAGGACTTGCCTTACACCCTTACAAAGAGCGTGTCCTGTTTGTCCCACCTCACATCCTGCCTTTCCCAGCAAACCAAAGCTTTTCACGCAGCGCCGCTACATGTGAACCCACTCTCCCTGGCCGTCATTAGTTTGCACTAATCTTAACGTTCAGCGAATCAGCAGTTTGATTCAGTCTGAAACTTTCATCTGCTACTGACTTTAAACGGAGGAAAATACTGTGTATTTGTTGTACGTGTAAATACAGAACAGAGAGAATTTAACGTCTCTAGTATTACCAACCGAGGGAGGCACTCTGTTACATTCTTTTTTCCTAGCGTGTGAATGGGGACAAAAAAAACGATACTCACACTCCCGCTTTCAGTACGTGCCATTGGCTTCCCCCCCGTATTACCTTTAGATGTGATTGCTTCATGTGTGGGATTGATACGAAAAAGCTGTTCCATATGGTCTTTTTGTGCCTTTAATAGTTGATAGTCTGCTATGAGAAGAATCAACAGCATCAGAGGTTGATTTTTTTCCCCCTCATGGCTGTTTGCTTCCGTTGCCCAGCTCGTTTTCTACCACGCAGCAGTTTGTGCTAAAAGCCATTCCTTATGACTCTCATTGCACTATAGTGACCCTCACTCTCCCCTGCTGAAATAGAAAAGTTAAAGGGAAAAAAAATGGCCTTGAGTTGAACTTTGGAAGGATAGAAAGGCCAGAAAAATATCAGCTGCAACGCTTCATCACAGTAGCGGTAGCTGTGTTTTCCAGGCAGCAGTATCACCTGGATGTGTTGCACCACTGAACTGGAATGAGCCCTTTCCTTATTGCTGAAGTAGCGGAGCATGTTTCACATGCAGGACTGTCATTTTCTTCTAGTGAGTCGAATAACTACAGAAGTGTGACAAAGCAGGATTTCCTGCTGTCACTCTTAACGCCTTTTCGAGCAGATTCACTCCACTTAATTCCTCAGTGAATTTGTATCATATCCAGACATCATCTCTGTGGAACTCAACACAGAAGGACCTGAGACTAGCAGGGTTTTTTCTAAAAGGCATGCCTTTTTTCTTCCCCATGTAAGGCCTTGACGCAGTGCAGAAGTACATTTTTGTCATGGGTTTTATTCAGTAACTGCTATCATGTCGAAATAAGCACCGTGTTTGTGTCATCAACAATCCATTCCACTTACTATTCAAAGAGCTGAGTATCTATCAGTCAAACTTGTACTGTTGTGATAGAGCTAGAAATGTGATTTCTGTACTAGTTTAGTAAACAGATGAATCCCTTCAGCGCATATGATGCCCATGTTCGCTGGTGTTGGCCAAAATGTACGCGCGTATTGCATTTCCAGTCGTCCCATCGCCAGCTTTTCATTCACCATAACATTTGTTGTGAGAAATATTTCTTTTGGTCAGAAAAAAAGGACAGTTCAGACAGGTTTTCCCGGACAATGAGAAGACCTCTTTCTCATGACAGGTTTGTGTAGCTGAGAAGTTTATTTTTAACAATTTGCTGTTTGTTCCAAAGACATTAAAATGTTTATATTGCTGTTTAAGATGAAGGGATTGAGATGAAGTCCACTGTGAAAAGCCTGTCTCTTTATATTGCAACCCCAGTTCATATAGTACTTTCAAAGTCTAGGTGTTACAATGAAACAGTGCTGGTCTGATATATATTTGAACCACGTTAGGGCTTTGGAGTTAAAAAGAATTTGAAGGGTCTGTACTGAGCTTGGGCAAAACAGCGTCACGATGAAACATAGGGGTGGGTGATATGATGAAAATATAACTAGTATAAATATAACTAATAATTCGTTTTTCTGAGATTTGATAAGTTGGAACAAACAAAACAGAACCAGTAGCGCCACATTTAAAAATACTATAAAAATTATTTTTGATTATTTTTTTAAGCTGTTTCACATCCTGTACTGCACTAAATCCAGTAAGCAGGTCCAGTTATGCTCTTTGTAGTGAAACATGCATTCCGGTTCTTTAAGTATTGATGATATTCACAATGTGCTCAGAAACATTCATTGAGAAGTGATGTGACAGTTTATCACAGTAGCGATAAATATTGTCATATTGCTCACCTCTGTCTTATTTGCAGTACATATTGCAAATTGACCATTTATTGAAGTATGCTCATTTAAAAAAAAGTATGTGAAAAGAAAAGGAAAAAGCCATGAGTTTGGAGTTGGTAGTGATGTCTATATTGAAACAGCATATTGTCACTGTCGAAAAGAAAACCTTTCATCTCCAAAATCTTCTCAAATTTTACAGGGAAAAAAAACAATGGGCCTCATTTACCAGTACCTTCCTAATTCTTTCTTAAATTATTTCTTGAGGAAGGTCCTAAAAAAGTCTACTTGAGTTAAAAAAAATAAATGTTGAGTGTGTGTAGGTTCTGTTCTCACCCAAGAATTAATGCCAAATAAGAAAACATTGGTGAATTTGAAAATGTCAGCTGCCCTTTATAACTTTTCATGAAGAATAGAAATGCTCCAAACCTTTGTGGAATAAAATGATCTTATGTTATCTTACACTCGATTTTGTAAGAAAACTGTATAAGTGGGTTTTAAGAAGACATTTCTTCTTAAGAAAGGTTGGTGAATGAGGCTCATTGACAACATCTAGTGTAAGATAATTTAAGATGGTCATGGCTTAGGCTGTATTACAGCACTTCAATATTTAACCTTCAAGAAGAGATCTAATTTCTTGTCATACAGCATGTATCATATTTTTCCCAACCTAAATGCAGTGTATATAGAAACAGGCTTTTCACAAAGAAAGTCCCTTCCACTATGTTATGGCAATATAAATGTTATTTAAAAGTCTTACATAATAGATCTTTAATCAGAGCATTGTTGAGCTGCCTTCAGCATTGTGAATTGTCATCGCTTCAGTAGAAAGTCGTGGATGAGAAGTGTACATTTGTGTTCCAAATGGGCAGCGAGGAGGTGGGAGGTTCATTCCGAGGTGTACAAAAACTCACTATGAATTCCAAGCGCTTTGCTCCTCCAACGATGTGAGTGTGTGCGTGTGGGTGTATGTGTGTATACAGATATATATTTCAATGCAGCATGGAAGTACTGGGCATTCTTGGAAAAATTACAGTCCTAGCACAGCGCGTTTGTATTATTTAAGATAGAAATGTATATTATAAGAGGAAAATATTTAAATGGAATAAATAATATATGAGTTTCACATTCTTGTGCTTTTTATTTATATAACTGGTCACCGCTGTCATGAGAAAACCTTATTAATGGTACCTTTATAAGAACATTCATAGGCTTAATGTATTGTATTTATTCCAGATAGTTTTACATCGTTTCTACTGGTCCAGTCATTATGAAATATTCACAGAATATAAAGGAGAGTAATGAGGTTTTGATATGACAGCGACATGCCAGTCAGTTTTGTTCTGGGATGTTTATATTGAAATGAACTGAAAAAGGAGTGCACATGGCAAAATGCATTCATCACAATGTCAAACCCTCTCTGAAGGATTACACCTACCCCATGTCTCTTATTTACATCCAGTCTCATTCTTTCAGGGGAAAAAGAAAGACTTGTTTAATATTTTAGGAATATAATGCTGATTAATGTGGTGTGAAGTTAAAGATGACATTCGGTGTGCTCCAATTTTCATGAAGTAATTATATGAAGTCACTAAAACCAGTTTTTAATTTACACTTATTATCAGCTATTAGTACTGAGATACATTTGTCCACCCACTGGTTTACTTTTGAGAGTAAGTCAGTCAAGGGTTCTCAACATTTTCCACCTCACAGTCCACCTATTTATTACTAGTAAGTATGAAGGCCCACATGAAAAAAAAACACATAATTATAATATAATATAATATAGTATAATATAATATATAGACCGTGCAACCAATCTGAATTCAATTCTGCATTCTAATTTCTAAAAGCAAATGAAAGTTTGGTAAAGATATTTCTCTGTCCCTTCTTGATCTAAATATTAGGCTATGAAACACACGTGTTCATTAATTGGATATGGAATGAGAAGAGCACAGCAATGGCCTGTTTTCCACCTTAACTAATCTTCATTCGAATGTGCAGAATGCACCTTTTACTGTTTGAATGTTGTAGTCAGACTTTTTCAGAATATGTAACACTGAACATAAGGTATCAGCAGATTATGCCAGCATAAGCTTGTTTTATACCAGAAATCAGTTGGAATGGTGCCAAATTAAGCGGAATGCTTTTGCAGCCCATTTTCCATAGTGGCTCACAAGATGAGGAGTGAAACGTCATAAAAAGCTGCTGGTGTTAATATCGTTACCATTTCAAAACATTTTACATTTCTTTCTTTTTATTATGTCATTTATTTTTTACAGATTATGAGATAAAGTGCCATCACTGGCCCACTGGCCACTGGCTCTTCCTCTGTATAGGTCCGAGGACCACCAGAGGGTGCTTGAGAAACCCTGTTCTAGATTGTCAGACGGCTACAGGACAATTGACATTGATAGCAGACATAATGATTAAAATCTTTCTCAACTCTGTAACAGCCTATTGTTCCTAAAGGGTTTGCCCTTTGTACAACTAATCTAAACCAACAAAAGCATCTTGTTACAGATGGTGCATTAAAGATGCATTAAAGCCCCTCTCAGGATTCACTGCAGGGTTTTACTGTCCTGGCTTTTGAAGAACAAAGTTCTCTCTAAAATGTGTAACATTTAGGTTTAGTATGTTTTAGAGAATTTAGAGCTAATCCTCTATAGACAGTGGGACTTTTCAGTAATTTCTGGTTGGCACTTTTTAAGTAATAATTTCAGTTAAAAATTCAGTTAAAACAAATATTACAAGTCAAGAGTGGTAGGTATGAAATGAAAACTGAGAAAGTTCCTGTTGGTGTGGGTGATCTTGGAGATTACTACTTCTGTGTCAGGCTTTCAGTTTCTCAACAAGTAGCAAACAAGTAGCATGTTATCAGTTTGCAAAAAAGAATTATTTTAACTCTAAGAAGTTACTTGGAAAGACTTCTGTTCTGCTGTACTGTTAATGTAATAATGTAATAGTCTGCTTAATTAAATAGTAAGTCACACAGTTAATGACATTTACATTCTGTGTTAAAAAGTTCAAGTCTGTGTTTCTGATATTCTGTTCATTGTTAGATGACAAAAAGGTGACAAATGGAAAGAATGTTTTTCTTTCCACAAGACATCATGACATCATTAAATACAAATCTTAATGAAATACAGTACTGTGCAAAAGTTGTAGGCATCTGAAAAAAATATGTTTGAAAAAGCGATTTATCTGGACCGTAAGCATTTATTTCCTCAAAAAACACTAATATTCGAATCAGACAAAAAATCATATAGTAAGTAATGTTCAATAGGTTTTATGTATGTGAATGTGTTTTTGGTTAACCATTTATGAAGCTCACCTCAAGGAAGCCCAGCATTTACGTTTACCTTCGAACATCAAGTTTGGCTAATGAATTCTTCGTTTAATAAAGTCAGATGTGCTGCTGATGGCGTTTAATAAATCTAGGCGATGGCTGGAGGCGCCTATGAGAAATCTGGAAACTAACTTGTGCTCTTCTAACTAGCTGGCAAGATATTAAAGATATCTGAGAAAGTATTGAGGAATTCTTGTTACATTTTACTGCATTGCTGTTGACTTGCATTTATTCTGATGTTATACAGTCATATGCAAAAGTTTGAGCACCCCTGGTCAAATGACATGTTTTGTTGATTTTCTAAGTTCACATTCTCTACAGAGAACAAACTCAAATATACAGTGTAAGATATTGGAAAAATATAAAACGTATCTTTTGCACAGGCCACATTTTATGTTTATTTTTGTCAAATTCAGTAAATAAACAGTAACTGTGCATTAAAATGCTGAAGTTTGTTCAAAAACTTTGACCAGGGGCACTCAAACTGTACAGTGTTTTTTACAAGCAAAAACACACTTTGTGCTCATATAAATGATTTAAGCACTTTGCCTAGAGATTTTTGCTTTGCCCAGTACTGTATCTCTTCATCTACTTACAAACACAAATTTATCTACAAAACGTTTAGAATCTGCACTTTCAACAGAAGGTCTTTTTAAAATCAGATTTCTATGTTTATATGACGCACTATTTGTGGTCCATTCTGTGCAGAACAGAATATGAATGTGATCCAAATGGAAGAGAATTGATGTCAAGATCAGACACGCACATGCGGGGAATCTGGTCTGATTGCATTTGATTTTCTGATTTAAAGTGTTCTCATCACTAAGAGTATCACAAAGTGGTGGCAAATTGCTCAAGAGGAGAGCTGCACAATTACGCACTTACTATTAAAATGTTTACGTATTTGAAAGCACATGGCAAATGTCGACACCTGACGTCTAATTATCATTAAAATGAGTGCTCCAGTGCCCAAATATTGTAATCAACAGAATGTTATCCTGATTTTCAGAGCTAAAAACCCAAGCTGCACTGGAGCAGAGTTACCACATGGTGTCATACTCAACCACCACACCACACTGACCAGAATGAAGCCAGCTGTAGTCTTAATATCCTCACTCAGCAAGGTCACATGTAGACATTATAAGCATGTGGATTCTAGTCTCGTGTTACAGTAAGTCATAATAACCTCATGTAGGCACGAGTCATTGGTGAAGATGGGCATTTATTGTGAATATGGCAGATAGAGTGTCAAGAGGGGGTTTTCATATTGAGAGGCAAAAGTGGCATTTTGGAACATTCACAGCCTCCTATGAATCATTCAACATACAATGCTAGAATGTCAGGATATAAACCATGGAGACATGTTCTTTGTTTGTTCCTCTTGTGCTCCCTTCTCCAGGCTCCCAAGGAAATCAAATAATAATAGATGAAGGTTTGATAATGCTGGTAAGATCTGATAACAGTCTCTTGTTTTCCTGTCTTGTGCTTTGCTCTAATGGGGAACATTGTACTGAGTATCCGAGACACCAGAGGATTCATAACGTTGCTGTTGCATGAAAATCATGTACCTCTGAACAAAAGTTATTTCCTTCAATGTATCTAGATGTAATGAGGATTTATTCCTAGTCATTTTGTACCATTTATATTGATCCATGCATCATGAAACGCTCACACAACAGGCAGCTGCTGCTTTTTTTTTCATATGGAAAAAATTAAATGAAATAAAAAAGCACCTTATGAGGTTTTGAGCCGACATAGATGATATATTACTCATAATATTTCTGACCAAAAACAACAGGTGCTCTTTATCATGGTCACATGCTTATTAGAAAACCTAAGGGCTACATCTAATAACTCATCACTGACCAAAGAAAACTAGGTATCTTCAAAAAGGCAACTTTTGGTCCTTTACTTTTAATGTAAGTTAATGTAAAGCGAGTTTATTCTGAGCAGTTTTGAACCAATTGGCAAAAATGATAGTCGAAATACATGCATGGGTCAAATCCAAAACAGCAAAAAGGTAAAACAAGGCAAACATAATCAGAGGGGCAAAGACAAGAGGCAAAAAACAGGAATCCAAAAAACAATCCAAAACAGAGTAAATGCAACCTAAATACACAGGAGGAATGCTCAGTAGCTCTGCTAGAGAAGCAATACCTCGCAAACATACTAAGCTAAAGCCCAGGCTTAAGTACTAAACTAAATAAGTCATATGACATGTCAGGGGGTGAATCAGATCAACACTCACGAGAGTTAAAACGATGATTGGTTGAACGTTCAGGTGGAGGATTCACGTGATCTCCCAAGGGATTACGAGAAATAGAGTCCATGTGTGAGTCGGGACCGGAAGGGTCCGTGACCGGTTATAACTATATAAGTGGACAAAATAAGCTTCATCAGACTGTATTTATTATTTTTAATAGTTCAACAACATTATGTTCATTGTGTGAACGCAGGGTTCACATGAAATGAACATCAAAGTCACAGCATTTTCACAGGGTGAAGAAAGTTTGCAATTTTCATGATGTTCAATAAGAGCAACAGTATAGCTGCATGTTCCAACTTCTCCACAGTTGTAGCCTCTCGCTCTCAGACTGCTACGTTATGTCTTTTTGATTTATTCATAGTCACCAAAAGATGTCCTCCAGTGCTAATATTTCTTGCCAGCGTCAGTGCTGAGTTGTGCTTATTTTAGACTCAGTGGACTTCAGTGATAAACAAATTCACCATGGCAGTAACTAGAAATAACTTTTTCAAGAGAGTCATCAGTGGAACTT